AACTTGTACGTCAGCTTTAAAGAAAAGGGCTGTGTGCTAATAATCCCTAATTTATGTGCCTGACTTTAATTGTTGTCCGAACACTCTGAATCTCTAAAACCATTTCATTTGATTAGATGGATGTGATACAGAGGAGAATGAATGCACTGAAAGCAAAATGTTGTCACTGAGTCTGGTAAGGGCTTTGAGGCCACATGTGTGTAAGACCGATTTTACCTTTTTTTTAAACATATTTATATTGAAGGCCATTTCAGTGACTCTAATGACAGACAAGGTATGATCAAAACATCTAAATTCCATTTTTATATGAAAGACTTTCCTGGAGGACATGATTGTCTGCATTTTGATGTAAATTTTCTGTAACAAAAAGTAAAGATGAAAACAAAACAACTAGACTTTTAGAGAATGTTCTACAGAATAGTGGTCCTATTGTTTTGTTTGTTTTTTTATTTTTTTGTTGGATGATTGTATTGCTTGAAGGAAAAACAGTTCATGAAATATTTTATTAAATTGTAATAAAACTTTTTTTTCCATACAGGGGGTTCCCTGTGAGTGCAGTTACTAAACTGAGTCATATGTTGTACTGCGCTTTGATTGGTAAGAAATATGTTTTATGTCATTAGAAAAATGAGTGAAACAGGGGAAAAAAATAACAATGAATTCATAAATACAGCATAATGTCTCATGAGAATTCCCAGAAAATGAAACTGTTCCTGATGATGTAGCCTGAAAGAAAATTGTGTCTGCTAAAAAGTTAGTGAGTAACTCAAGTTACACAAGTAAGTAGGTAAGTAATATGCTTATCAGTCTTACAAACTTTCATCAGGGTCAGAGACCATCAGTGAGAAACTTATTGGCCTTCATTCTGACAACCAGAAGCATTGGACACTGAGGACATTTCACAATCAAATGGGATGGATGGATGGATGGATGGATGGATGGATGGATGGATGGATGGATGGATGGATGGATGGATGGATGGATGGATGGATGGATGGATGGNGATGGATGGATGGATGGATGGATGGATGGATGGATGGATGGATGGATGGATGGATGGATGGATGGATGGATGGATGGATGGATGGATGGATTGAATTATTATACAGTTTAGGCTGCATGATTTTATATGTAAGCATTAATAACTGTAAAAAGGTAAATCTGTCTTTATGGTCTGTATTTTAAACCTGAGTTTAAGAGTGACCTGAGTGAAGGGCTTTTAACAGCTAAATCAAGACCATAAAAAATGCAACAAAAAAACTTCAAAACAGCTTTAATCTCCAAAGTTGTGTTGCAGTTCATTCAGACACTTTTTTAAAAACTTTTACATTTTTTGTCATTTTTTTTGTTATGATTATTTTTTGATGGAAACATTAAGAAATTTCTGCCAGTAATTGATGCCAGGCTGCACTGGAAGTGCTACAGCTAGCTGCTGCTACTAATCACATTTGTAAATAACCAATAAATTCAATGTAAATGATTATGTACTGCTAAACTGGTGGTGGTGCAAAGGTCAGTAAAACAGCTTTTGCATTAAACTCCATGAAATTTTCAAGATTGTTGTGGTTTGGAGACGGCAGCAATGCACTTTGGTCTTGGTTGTGTTCAAACTAACCATTACCATAACCATTTCCATCAACACCATAATCACACATGAAGATGACACTACTCTGGTGGGACTTTTAACTGGCGGAGGCGAGTCAGCGTTCAGGGATGAGGTGCAGCTGTTGGCAGTCTGGTACACCAGGAACACCCTAAAAACCAGAGATGGTCACAGACTACAGGAAGAGAAAGGCTGCCCCTGCACCACTCTACATCAATGGCAACAGCGTGGAGAGGGTCCCCCACTTCAAATTCCTGGGGGCGTACATCTCAGTAACTCTCTCCTGGTCGGTCATCACCACGGCGGTGATTAAGAAGGTCCAGAAATGACTCCACCTCCTGCGAGTCCTCAGATGGAACAACTTGCAGACCTATCGCTCCACCATAGAGAGCATGCTAACAAATGCCTTCACTGTGTGGTACGCGGGCCCCACCTCTGCAGACCAGAAGGGGCTGCAGGGGGTGAACAGGTTGTCCTCTCCCCTCCACTCTCCAGGGCAAAGAGGATCTCCAAAGACCACCATTATCCTGGTTACCACCTGCTCAGCCGGCTGCCATCCAGCAGCAGGTACAGGAGCAGTAAAAGTCCCACCAACAGACTCTAAAACAGTTTCTTCTCATCGGCCATCCAGACTCTGAACACCAGTCAAACATATTGAGTAAAATAATTACTTTATTATTGTTTTTGTCACTGGATATACTGTCCTATATCTCTTTCTATGTTCAATTTTGTTGACAATGAATTCTATTCTATTCTATTCTATTCTATTCTATTCTATTCTATTCT